TACACACTACATGCATATACTCTTAAAATACACACACACATACACAAACGCACACACACACATACACAAACGTAGTTACAGACACACACACATACACAAACGTAATCACAGACACACACACATACACAAACGTAGTCACAAACGCACACATATACACACTATACTCTTAAAATACACACACACATACACACACTCACACAAACGCACACAGATACACACTACATACATATAGTCTTAAAATACACACACACATACACAAACGTAGTTACAGACACACACACATACACAAACGCAAACGATACACAAACGTAGTCCACAACGCACACATATACACACTATACTCTTAAAATACACACACACATACACAAACGTAGTCACAGACACACACACATACACAAACGTAGTCACAGACACACACACATACACAAACGTACACACGTAAAGACACACACACATACACAAACGTAATCACAGACAACACACCATACACAAACGTAGTTACAGACACACACACACACATACACAAACGTAGTCACAGACACACACACATACACAAACGTAGTCTAAGACACACACACATACACAAACGCAGTCACAGACACACACACACATACACAAACGTAGTCACAGACACACACACATACACAAACGCAGTCACAGACACACACACATACACAAACGTAGTCACAGACACACATACATACACAAACACACCAGTACAGACACACGCACATACACAAACGTAGTCACAGACACACACACATACACAAACGCAGTCACAGACACCCACACATACACACGTACACATACACAAACGTAAGACACACACACATACACAAACGTAGTCACAGAACACACACATACACAAAACGCAGTCACAGACACACACACATACACAAACGTAGTCACAGACACACATACATACACAAACACAGTCACAGACACACGCACATACACAAACGTAGTCACAGACACACACACATACACAAACGCAGTCACAGACACACAGTACACAGACCAGACACACACACATACACAAACGTAATCACAGACACACACACATACACAAACGTATTCACAGACACACACACACATACACAAACGTAGTCACAGACACACACACACATACACAAACGCAGTCACAGACACACACACATACACAAACGTAGTCACAGACACACACACACATACACAAACGCAGTCACAGACACACACACATACACAAACGTAGTCACAGACACACACACATACACAAACGCAGTCACAGACACACACACATACACAAACGTAGTCACAGACACACACACATACACAAACGTAGTCACAGACACACACACATACACAAACGTAGTCACAGACACACACACATCACACAAAACGTAAGTCACAGACACACACACATACACAAACGTAGTCACGAGACACTCACACACATACCACAAAAACGTAGTCACAGACACACACACATACACAAACGTAGTCACAGACACACACACATACACAAACGCAGTCACAGACACACACATATACACAAACGTAGTCACACACACATACACAAACGTAGTCACAGACACACACACAATACACAAACGTAAGTCACACACACACACACATACACAAACGTAGTCACAGACACACACACACATACACAAACGTAGTCACAGACACACACACACATACACAAACGTAGCCACAGACGCACACACATACACAAACGTAGTCACAGACGCACACACATACACAAACGTAGTGACAGACACACACACATACACAAACGTAGTCACAGACACACACACATACACAAACGTAGTCACAGACACACACACATACCGCAGTCACACACACACATACACAAAACGTAGTCACAGACACACACACACATACACATACACGTAGTCACAGACGACATCACACATACACAAACGTAGTCACAGACACACACACACAGACACATATAGACAAATACACACCGATAGAAACTTACACAATGTATAAACAGACACAAAGACAAAGTTATATGAACATCTTTTTGACAAAAAGGAAAAAAATATATCGGTCTAATTAATATCGTACGACCAGTTTGCCCAAAAGACCATATATGGATGTTTTAATCATCATTATTACTATTGTCACAACGAATGGAATTGAAGCTGTCTTTCCTGCCATTCTAAATTCCATTTCCACCAGCTACTAACAACACACACACACACACGCACACACACACACACACACACACACGCACACACACACACACACACACACAACTTCAATTACTTCCCTTTTTTCTTGAAATTTGAATAAAATCCTACACCCCCCTCCCCCCCCTTCCTGAGGCTCATGTCGCCCCCGTCAAGAGGAGGAGGAGGAGGAAGAAGAAGAAGAAGAAGAAGGAGGAGAAGGAGGATGAGGAGGAGGAGAAGAGAAGGAGAAGAGGAGGAGGAAGGAGGAAGAAGAAGAAGAGGGAGAAGACGGAGAAGGAGAAAGAGAGGGAGTAGGAATA